ACATACACACACACACACACCCCAAACTATAGCATGAATAAAAATAAGTTAAGTGTTAATATGAGGACATGAAAACAAAATCATAAATACTCCGGTTTTTGGCAGCCCGTCTAAGCGGCACGTCAGCCCACAGCTGGCCCCTCCTGTCCGACCAGCCTTGCTTTCCTTCCCCTCCGTCAAGCCTAATTCCCTTCTAATGAAATGGCTTCTGAAGGTAATAGCCAGCCAAGCCCGGTGCTCTTATTAAACAAGGCAAGCTCCACTGACACACACGCACGCACACACACACACACACACACACACACACACACACACACACACACACACACACACACACACACACACACACACACACACACACACAAGGAGAAGGTATGTTATGCTCACGGAAACACCTGCTGAGCATCCAGGATCTCCTAATCTTAGGAATGTAAAGCCTTTACGAATATAACACCCTTCTACGCACCCTTTTCGTCTCAAAGCTAAAGATGCTCAAGATCCTTTTGTGTGATTCACACATTTTTCTACAAAGGTGAAATTAACACAAATTATAGTTAGGCTTGGTAGGTGGGAAGATAAGTATTTTGGTAGGGAGTTTAAGTAGATATGAAACATTCCATAAGTATGCCTTTATATACATAAGTAGATTGCTTCGTTGCTACAATATGTTATGCTAGGTTTTTAGCAGCTAGGTACAAAGCTAAAACACTTCTCTACCACATTCACAGACCCGATATAGAATACTTATAGGATATTGACTTAATTTAGCTCAGTAGGTAGTAGATAGGTAGCCAGCTAGTAAGGTAGGTAGGTATTTGGATAGGTAAATACATTGGTAGGCGATAAGATACATCATTAGGTTGGTAGCTAGTTATGCAGGCAGGTCGGCAGATGGGTACGCAAGAAGCTGCAGGTAGCACGGAAAGTTATCATGCTTTCAAAGCTATGGTTTTGTTGTTTGTACATTTTACAGTGGTAACTTGTTTTAACACTTATGTGGCGGTGAAAAACCCCAACGCGTAGCCTGGCAGATTTTATGACCGGTGGTTCCTTTGCAGGAAGTTTCAAGTCACTTATCTCAAATATGGGCCACCATCAGCATTTCTGACCTGTATACTTCTTATAGAGTGCTTATCCCCAATTCTGGGCTCCTGGTGAGGATCTTCTTGCTTGGTTCCCCTCATGAATTCCGTTTAATCCCAAATGGATTATTCCACACCACTTCTGCCTTTGTCTGAGACACTGCGAGCACCCACGGATCTGCAGAGAAGGTGCATTTAAAACCATTAGCTGTGGCCGATACCCTCAGACAAGTGTAATAACATTGCATCAGGCTCGTTAAATGATATCACAACTAGAGAACTCAAAAGAACCGCAACCTCTGCCGAGGCCAACCTCATAAAAGCGCTCTGAGCGGCCGGTGACCTGAACCACTGTTGGATTTCTCAACTTCACATTTCGTTGGCTGGAAGTCGTCTTATCCTTTTCACCCGTCTTTCTTTTTTTGGGTTTTTTTTCTTCCCCGAGGGCCATGAGAAGCATATTTTCCACAGTCTAAACACCAAGCGAGAAGAAGAAAATTAGTTTCTTCCCCGAATCAGTACAAAACTTTTCGTCAGACGAGGCTTATGGCTGCAATTATCAATGCTTATGAACTTGCACCCAAAATCCCCGTGGCCCTCTGAGATACTGTAGCACTGCAAAACTCACACACTCCCACTGATTGGGATGACATGAGCAGGAGACAGATGAAGAGAAGGCCAAGAGGTGCGCCGCGCGGGTCAAGTAGGTCCACCCCGAGGCTGAAAGTGATGACGCAGGACTCATTCATTTTGAAGATCATCATTTCGAGCCGCCGAAAGAGACAAATAATAGAAATGAAATGTTTAGTGGAAACTGACAGCAGTCACTAGAGTGGACAGCCTATCATGTTGTCAGGTTACAGGTTCTCATTATCGGTGCACAAAAGGGTTCAACTCACGCACGCACCTCATTTTCCAACGAAAGCTACTTTCAAACTCTATTTTGTGTTCAGTCTATCAAAAGGCCCAGCGGTCCATTGCAACATACTAGAAGGCTGCTGCTGCTGCATGAAGCAATTTCATAAAACCGTTTGTCATTGGCGACAGCTTTCGGTAACTATAAATCTTCCACTGAGGTCTTGTTAAAACCAGCTGAATCAAAGCTTTGAGTGTTGAAGTCTTTGTTGTTATCCACCCACACTCGGGACAGCAAAGGCCGGTCTTGCTCCCCCACCCACCCAAAGTCTGTAAACCTCCCCCTACCTGCCTTTGATACTGATCTCGGTCAACTCAACCTATAACTCTGTCCAACTTCTTACCATTCGTTTCACCTTTTTATCGATGATGTAATTTGGGCCTTTTCGGGTGGGCGTCTGATGCTTTCATTGGTCCCAGATGTAGCTTTTATGCACGCGCATGAACTGCGTGTGACCACACTGCGTTCTCATGTGGCGGGTGACTGCGTCTTAATGTGGCTCCAGATGATTTTAGTTAGCGCAGCGGCTTAATAGATTCCACTTATGAAGAGATGTCAGCTGGCTTTGTTGGTAGGATGCGCACATTTAATTAGAGTGTTTCTGGAAATAGTGGCTGGGGCGCCTATTTAAGGAGAGGCTTTTATTTCCCTCCTCGCATCACATAAGATGGTCTTTAATAGTGCCCATGGAACATTTGGTCCCACACTTGAATGCACGGGCGCAGTCTGTTGAATGTGGCCATCGATGGTTGCCAACAGCCTCTGAAAATAACCACCCTCTTTCCTTTATTGTTGCCCGTTTTCCTCTCTTTGTGGCAGTCTGCTTCTTCCTTGACAATTGCACCTTGTTTTTGTGGTTCGATTTTAAAAAAGAATAATAATACAGCACAAAAAGAAGCCAAAGTGGGTGAAATTGCTAACCCAGCTCTGGGTCAAAGGGACTGAGCCAATGCTGGGTTGGGTCAGGATTCCGATTAAAAACGGGGTGAACATAGGGGTGCCCAACCAGTCTGTCGCAATTGACTGGTAGTCCGCAGTCTGGTCCCAAGTCGAATTTTGTGTTAGTGCACACTGCACATCAAAGTATTTGGAAAAATAAAGCAAAATTTAAAAGCAGGTTACCTTTAACCTACGGTGTTGTGAGACCTGCATCACCGGAGGTTGCTTAGTGGTCAGCAGTCTGCATTTCAGCTTGCGATCAGACCTGTTTTGTGTGTGTGTGTGTGTGTGTGTGTGTGTGTGTGTGTGTGTGTGTGTGTGTGTGTGTGTGTGTTTGAACTGCGACCACACAGTTTTGCTAGGATTAGTGTGTTTTGTGTACTACACGCACACAGTTCCTTCATTCATCTTCACACTGGGTCCATGTGATTCCGGAATCAGCTCACTTGTGCCGGCTCATATAACGTCGTCGTTAATGCCCGCGCACACGCATCGTTACGCTGCGTTACAACTTGCCTACCGGCAAGTGTAAATGTGAACATTTCTGTGGTTGTCTGCGTAGACGCGTGTGGGAAAATGGGCCCGAGCATGAAAAACGCTCGTAAACAGAAGCCGCTATCAGTGATAAAGCGCTGCCCTTAATATGTCCCTATTTAGCCCGTTGTGCGTTTACTGTGAGAAAAAAGGCAGATAAGAGCCAAAAGAAAAGGGAAGGGCATTTAGTGGGGAATAATTGGTTTGGAGGCACGCTGAGAGCGGCGGGGGTAAGGTGGAGCAGGCGGAAGAGGGAGCACTGTGGGAATGGAGGTGTTTACCCACGCCCTGCGGGACAGACTCGGACATGGGAACACACTTTTGCCCTAACTAAACATGGCTGCTGCTTTTGCGCAATTCGCAGGCAACAAAACTCACCCCGCCATCCGTCATTCACTTCCATTTGTGTGTGTGTGGGGGGGGGGTATTCTTATTTTATACAGTACTGTACATGAATATTGTTGATGAAGCATTTTGGCACAAAAGGGGAACTGTGTGAAACGGGGTGAGTAGTATAAGAGCATGAAGGAGATTTTCTAGTTGAAAGAATGCCACTAAGTCCTTGTTTCCTGTTTTGTTGCATTGGCCACCACAATCCGAAGGTCTGTAACATTCTCCGGTCAAAATACAACAAGGATATAGAATCCAGCACTCTTAATACTGTATCCACTTGTTGCATTCCATTTGAAATCGCTTTGTTTTGAGGAAGGGCGGTGTTGCCATCCTAGCAGCTTTTCTCTACCCTCAAGTAACTTTTTTTTTTTTTGAAGTTGTTAGCGACAAATCCAGCCGCCACTTCTGTGGTGTTATTGGGGGCTTCTTGAGACTCAGAGCAGATGTTCATCCTTCGGCAGTCCAGACTGCTAATGAGTGGCGCTTGCCGAACGCCACCAATGATTGAACTTGATTCATGGCCAGCACTTTGTTTCAGTACTGGTTGTTCTTAAAATGTGCTCTTTAAATAAAATTGAGTCAAATCGACTTCTGTGATACAGTAACCATGACATTTTTTTTCAGAATTTAAAACAGTTTCCAGGTGCTGTAAGAAGTCTCGGACATTCTTCCAGGAAAATACACACACAATTAAGTGTTAAAACTCACTTGGGGCAGTCCGGGTGAAATTGTTCACTTTTGGTGGGCGAGTATAAAAACTGAATTGGTCTTGGCAATTTTTTTTTCTTGAGGTGTATTGTGCCATCTTGTGGTGTACGTCCGCAATGATTCCTAGTTTGTAAGATTTCAAGATGAGGTTTGCAATTGCACATACGTTGTAATAAGTTGTAATACAAAGTCCCCATTTACAAGAATAATAATGCCGACATTTGTGTATTGTCCTTCTTTTCTAGGACGCTGATTCCTCTTCTTGATGCCGATACTGGTCTGTTGGTGCTGGCTGGCATGGTAACACTTGCGTGTTTCTGATAATTGGGTTGCGGAGAAAAGCACTTTTTTTTTCTCGTGTGCAGGTAGTTTATTTGTATTTTGAGATGTTATTTCTGGGCAGGGCGACACAGTGGCGGATTGCTTCGAAGTGTCCACCTCGGAGCCCTTCCTCTCTCAAGGCGAGTTTTACTCCAGTGCTTCCTTGAACTTTTTTTGTAACTTACTTAAAAAAAAAAAAAATATATATATATATATCCTGGTCTCAAAATCACGGCATGGCTTTGGTCCTGAATACACGAATTCAAGAAATGTTAATGGTATTTATTTTTTTTTAAATCAACATTAAGTTTTAGCTGTTGAATGCTTTTAATATTATATACTCTACAGTATATAATATAATTGTGTCCAGTGTAAATAAGGTATTAGAGTATCATTTGTTTTTGTATCAATATTATGCTGTTGCCGGTGTCATGAAATACACTGGACTTTTTCTTGCATAATTTGTAATAATTGAATATATCTTATTTTACAAATAATGATATTTCATTCCAGTATTGCTGTGTATGCTCTAGTACAGCGGTGCCCATTACGTCGATCAAGATCGACCGGTAGATCGCAGACTGGTCCCAAGTCGATCGCGAAGTGTGTAGAGGAGGAAAAAAACAAACAACCATTTGTGCTTCTTTGTGCATGTTAGTAATATATATTTTTTGTGTTAATGTACACTGGACCCTAATCATCCTATAAGTCTCATTCTCACAAAAAGTATTAAAAAATGAATAAAGCAGGTAAATCTCTAATCTACGGCGGCGCGTGACGTGCGTCACCGGAAGTTGTTAGCGCTCAGCAGTCTGCAATTGCAGCTTGTCATTGGAGCTGTTGCGCTATATCTTTTATCGTTATCATTATTCTCATTCAGAGTTTGTTTCATGTACAATTCACCGAGGGCACGGGCAAAGAATAGGAATCTAGAGGGCTCAGGGAAGCACTTTAAAATGGCACGTGTGAGCTACAATAGTTAACAGGCTGCAAAAGTGCATCGCATGCCTCCGTGTCAGGCTGTTGCGCTTCACGGCGTGCGTGCGTATGTCCGTGCGCGTGCGCGGTAACGGGTCGATCGCGGGAAGTTGGTTGATCGAAAAGTCGATCTTCGGTCCAAAAAGTTTGGGCACCCCTGCTCTAGTGTGATGTGTTGTGATATGCATTCTGATTCTGATATACAGTATTGTCATGACCCCAAATCTCCTCCTAAATGTGCGCTCGCTAATAACTGTGTTTAGCTGATGACTTGCGTCCGTTGATCCAACTGTAGTGAGCCACTGTCTGACTGAGATGTCAAGCCGCGGCGTCGCCATGGTACCCAAGCTGGCGTTGGACGTCATGTCTTGCGAAGTAATGCGAGTGCTCCAGCTGACGGACAACTACATCGTGCCCATCAGCTATCAAGTGCCTCGCAAGGTTTTACTCTTTATACACGCGGACAGCGTATGACACGCGCAAGATAAAATGACGTTTACGGGTTTGTGTGTGTTCGATCAGAATTCCGGCCATGACTTCCACGCTGACCTCTACCCCGACACGGCAGGCGTTAGTCCGGCCATGGCCGCGGCGGAGTGGTGGCAGGGAGGGAACAAGCAGGTAATGGACATACTGCTCAGCGAGATCAATGGATGGAAAAACTAGAAAGCTCCAATGACTGGTGTGGTTTATGCTCAGGTACAGAAAGTCAGCCTGCATCCGGACAAGCAGCCCAAAGCTGCCAAGGCTCCATCAGACAAACCGTCACCGGCAAGGAAGGATCTTAGCAGCGGCGAGAGCAAGGTGGGAATACATTCATTTTGGCAGCGCTATCCGAAACACTGACCTAGATTTACAAATCATGAAATTGTACACATTTTTACCCATCAGTCTTTTCTATTCATTTCATACCATTTGTTTTGGCTGTACTGCTTCCAGGATGTAAAATTATTGTTATTATTATTTTTTAAATCAGAGTTTAGTCTCTGTGTTGCCATGTCAATGTAATCTGCCTTCACACTCGATCACACTTGCTGGCGTTACTGAAACTACTGTATGTTAGCGTTGGGGGGGCGTCTTTCACCAATCAAATTTCCAATTTGGCCTCACAGGGCCAGAACGCTGGCTCCCAATGACATTGGCATTTTTCCATCCTCTGATTGGTTCATCAGAGCAAAACTTGTTCCATGCTAACTTTGACTATGATAACATGTCTGTGGTGACTTACGTACATGAATACATTTAATAATCAACACTTTGATATGTTTGTTTGAATTTGTTTCTATATTGTCATGTTATAAAATAAATCTCGATTTTGAAGTGCTCCAGATGACATACATGGCACGATCGCATGCTGCGGTATATTGTTTTTGCGAAGTATCGACACGATCGCGGTGGTATCGAGAGATGGATTAAGACCCTATTGAAGTTCTCTAGTAGCAAGTGCAGAGCACATCCTTGTTTTGTAGCCAACAGAAAATGCGCTAAGCTATTTTCGCTTTGCCACAGGACGCGGCACGTGGTTGTTCCACCTCCAGCAGTCCTCTGAGCACCCCCACCAGCAGTGCCGCCGCATCCCGCTCGCCCTCTTCCACTTCGGGGCTCTCCTCGGGCTTTCTCCCTTCGCCAAGTCCGGGCCAGGCAGCCAAGGCTTTCCAGACCTTCCTTGGTCTGAACACACACGTACACACACAAATCCCTGCCAATGACAGTGAGCTATAGCGCTGATTGGCCAAATGTAGTAGCAGCGCCCTCTAGTGGTACTGGAAACATGTTCACAGAATTAAATGTTCAAATTGTGCGTCATGTTGAAGGGATTTCACCTTTGGAAAATCCAGTTCAGTAAATTTGTTGCGTACAGTTCAGTCATGCAGTATTTAACTCTTAAGTACAACACATTCATTGTGTTGAATATTTTAGTAGTGTTTCTTGTGTTCAATGAATATTATTCGAATTAGTCATTATTTTATTCTGCCGTTTTTGCTTGCCGTTTCTGATGATGCATGATCCAGGACCGACCTCCAAGTTCCGGCACATCCAGGGCGTCGTGCTGCACCGTGACACGCACATCACCAACGTACGCGACCTCAACCTGACCACGCCGGGCGAGTGCGACGGCTTCTGCGCCAATAGCCAGTACGCCGCCGTGCCCCTCGCCATAGCCGGCGGCCAGATTGCCATCTTTACGGTATGCTGCTGGAGAAAACAAACAATAAAAACAGTCAAAGATGTGAACTGAAGGAATGAGACTTGACTCTTCTCCCAGCGCTCGCAGCCAGGCAAGCTGCCGGACGTCGCTCTGCCCACCATCCAAAACTCTGTCAATGTGGCGGACCTTTGTTGGGACCCCTTTGACACGCATCGACTCGCTGTGGGTGAGTGACTGGACAGCCGACTTACCAAATGCGTACATACAAACGCGGGCACCCAGTTTTAGAGCATAATGTCGTAACATCTGTATAATTTGTGTCTAGCTGGTGAGGATGCTAAAATCCGAGTGTGGCAAGTACCAAAGGGCGGCCTTAAAGAGACTCTGACTGATTCTGAACTCATCCTGCAAGGTGACAAAAGAGAACCCAAGGGCATCAAACAGTATGGGTACATGAACGTACGGAAAATGAGCAGCAGCAGCACTCATGTGATTCCTCGTAGGCCACACTGAGAAAATCTACTCCATCAAGTTCCACCCTTTGGCCAGCGACCTGCTGGTGTCGTCGTCTTATGACCTCACTGTGCGACTGTGGAACCTGGAAGATGGCGAGCAGGTGCAGCTCCTCACCGGACACCGGGATCAGGTGGGCCAGCATGTCGCTTTCACAATGAAAAGTGTTTTTTAAGAAGTCACGCAGAATGCTGATCAAAGGATCGACTCACGGCCACAAAGTGTCACAATACAAACAACAGATTTCGCAATGGACCCTTCCTTGTCAATCTGTGTATTTGGGGGCCACCTATAAATAACGCAAAATTCATCAGCCAGATTTTACAATTTGTCGACCTGCTTTGTTCGGTTGTGGTCGGACTTCATTTCCTCTTTCAAGGAGCGCTTGGAAGGAAATGATGATGAATCCTGGTTTATATGTTGTCACTTGCCCCCTCGTGTGTTTGTCGTTCAGGTGTTCTGCATGGCTTGGAGCCCAGATGGCAAGCAGCTGGTTACAGTGTGCAAAGATGGCAAAATTCGTGTCTACGACCCACGCAAGTCGGATGCGCCTGTGCAGGTTAGCGCACATAAATACGTTAACATTCACTCGTTTTTCTTTTGTTTTTAACCCGATGTGAATTCATCTAATGTGAATCGTCAAATTGTTCATCATCAAGGTTTTTATTAACTGCGCAGGCAATGTTTAACGTAGTATTCTGTTCACATTCTGCCAGACAAGCAGAAATGGAAGTTAAGCCTTCAGTAAAGCTTAAATGTGCACATGTAGCCATGAGCGAAAATCTGAGGGATCTCTGTAGTCACCGATGTGTTTCCTTAGCTACATTAAAAGACGTTTGCGTTTTAGGAGGGTCCAGGCCCTGATGGCCACAGAGGCGCTCGCGTGGTGTGGGTGTGTGAGGGCAAGTACCTGCTGGTGTCTGGATTTAACAGGTATTTTGAACATCAACACTACTTGACGTGTCTTTCCTCAAAAAGTGAGCTGATCTCATGAAGTACTTTAGGTGGTGCGACGTCACGTCAGTTTACTTTGGCAAGTATGCTTGCTAAATTGATGAGCCTCGTGTGAAGGTGGTTTGTTTGTGTTTACTATAAAAAACGAGAGTAATAGTTTATGTCACATTGATTCATGATTGTGTACATGCTAGATCAGGGGTCAGCAACCCAAAATGTTGAAAGAGCCATATAGGACCAAAAAAAAAAAAAAACAAATATGTCTGGAGCTGCAAAAAAATAAAAGCCTTCTATAAAACTTACAATGAAGGAAACACATGCTGTATGTATGTAGGAGACTGGACTGTCTCAGAATTGTTTGTTATTCATTACTTTGTTATGTGTTCACAAACGCCCCCATAGAATTTATTTTGTGATTTCCTCGCTTGATTTTTTTGTTTTGGTGCATTATTTTCACTTTTCTTAAGCCCTGTTCACACGGCACACATTTGGTCCGATGCTGCACCGAAATATTTTGTTGCGATGTATTTTACACCGGAGCAAATTTTGTGGAGCGGTCACACGTGCAAAGCCGCTGAGCGTGACAACTCCGGCGCAGCGTCGAAGCAGCTCCACTTGCGGTCACACGTGCA